CTCAGGCGAAGGAGAATAGGATTGTCGAAAAAGATTTATACAGGCAGTATCACAACTGTATTCCGTATTGCAGTAGTAAAGCAGAGTAACGAAGATTTTACATCTTCACAAATATTCTCCAACTACATTAGGCCATTCTGCGCGTTGATTTCAGTGATTCGAGATACCTGATTTATAATTCTTTTAATGATATCGTGATTTATTTGTTACTCGTCGACCAAGACAGATAAAAGATATTGAAATATCGATCGTAAATATAAATTAACAAGGTTTAATTTCATGTCACGAACACTTCCAACAATTTTTCATAAAATTCGTTTGTTTGTTAAAACAGTTTCTCTTTTCCTTCTCATCATAACTTCCTTTTTTTATCTTTTAATCGTTGTTTCCTACATTAATGTAAGAGATTGGAGAATATTTGATAAAATCTAAGAAAGGATTAAACTTTTCTACAATATCAAAAAATGTTAACATCATTAGCCATAATTTTCTTTGAATCCTTGGATAGAAAGTTGGGGTCAAATTGATACTGACTGCATGTAACTTCGTTTCCATATGCTTTCGGCTTTTCAATTTTATGTGCTCTTATTGTAGATAAATAATGCATTAACTCTGGAGATTTAAATGAATTGGATTAATAAATTCGACAGTTTATATTCTTTCTTAGTCTCGGACGATGTATGCGATATCGATATTAATATGCGATATATCGAGTTAATTAAAGATTACAGAAAATATCCTATCGGAATTGAACCTGATCTCAGAAACATAAAACCACCAAATACCTTGCAAATAAATAAGCTAATATATTATTTCACTGTCATACAAGGTACCCAAAGGAGAGCGAATCTAAATTCAGAATCATCAAACCAAAAGGTTCTTTCCATCCAATTAACATCTCATGATACACAGGATCAAACCCAAAGGAGACTCCAAATCATACTACTAAAGTCACAAGATGTATCTCCATCAGCCAATACGAATAATACGAGCGTACTCGTCGCGTGCAGGTTGTCGCGAGTGCAGTCTCGCGACTACCAGTCGGAGCGTATTGACGTGGATTGCAGGCGCAGGTTAAATCGAGCAAACGGTAGCGGCGTCGCGACGCCGGCTGAGCATAGCCATGCAACCCTCTCAATTCCCTACCACCAGCCACCGCGCGGTCTAACTCGGGGGTGGGGACAAACGTCACGGGGGAAAATTTATAAAGAGAGAACCAGTGGGGGTAGACTACTTGTTGCGCGTAGCGGCGCCCTCGTGACGCCAACATCCCCCTTCGTTTTCTCCACTACTACTACTATGGGTACTACTACTACTGCTGCTACGAGCGCCGGTGGTGCCACTGGTGCAGCTAGTACGCCCATACGTAGGCGACACCACGGACGACGACGTCGCTACCACCACAAGCGTCCAACGACGTCGACTCGTGATGCCGTCGACAAAAATAGACGTGTCGTCGCGACGCAACAGATATCATTCGGCCTCGGCTGACTTGCGCGCTATACTTTGCTGATTCGTCTTTTATCGTTGTGCCCTTTTTCCCTACCTTTTTGAACTTTGTTCTTATGTTCTTAATTTTCTTGCTTTTTTTCAACATTCTTTATTGGAGTAAGCGATTTTTTGGTTTTTCGATGACTCAGGTTTGAGTTTGAAACGCTTAGTTCCTGGTAATTCCTGGTGTACTGGAAGGGATTAGTATGAGAATCATAAGCGTCATACAATAGAGTAAAAGTAAAAATAAAAATAACGATTTAATTTAGTATGAAATATTAGATATACAGGGTATGGTACATGCCAAAGAATAATCAGTGAAGTATGTGTTGCACAAAATATATTTTGTATCAGTGGTATCGTAGTCACGGAAAAACATAGTTTGCGTCTGATAGACAAAAGATCTATTGATAAAAAAATATGTTAGTAAATAGGCACAGAATCATTTGCAGTGGGTCATAAAATTACTAGCTCAGTTGATAATGCAGAAAAGATTGATGAAGTAACTAGATAACGAAGTACTTTTTCGAGCTTCTCTTAATGGATATAAATTATTTGATGCTCAGTGTAACAAAATCGTAAAGAAAGGGTGAAAAGTTTTAATTTGTAATTTCAAGAAAAAAGAAACGATTCACTACAAATATTTACCTTTTCTCACTCAGAAAATTATTCGCTCAGTCAATAATGCAATAAAGATCAATGAAGTGACCAGATAACGGAGCACTTTTTCAAACTTATTTCAATGAATATGCATTATTTGAAGCTCAATGTAACAAAATCGTAAAGAAAGAGTGAAAAGTTTTGACTTATAATTGCAAACAAATGAATCACAATAATCTTTACACTTCTTTACGTCAACAAATTATTCGCTTATGCTACGAATTATCCAAAATAAATGCAGTCGATGCGAGTTTGATAAGAATTTGTTTACGATTCTTACTGAAAGTAGTCAGTATAATGTAGACGAGTGGCTGAGAGGCATTAGTTTTCATTTATAACCTTTCGTTTCAACAATTCAATATTATGGATGGGAAAATTGCGAAAATGAATTTGGAAGTCAGAGATATCATTACTTTTCATTGGAAAAATGGAAAATCCATTAAATTCTCTATTTTCTATTCAAAAAATGGAAAATCCATTGTATTTTCTTCTAAAATATTTAAATACACTACTTTGTCCATTGTGTCCGCAATAATTTGCAAATTACCCATGATAATTAATACAGTACCAAACCATTATATGACCATCTCAGTACTTAATAGTACTACACAAATTCTTCAAATGCAACACCATGTTTCGTTTTCGTCAAACTTTTTGCGGCCCGTCGGAGTATCAAATATAAAATTTGCTTTCATTGCAAAAAATGTCATCATATCAAAATTCACAAGGCTTAGGAATATAGCTTTATGCGAATTTCATTATTTCTTTTTTTCTATTAATTTTACTTATACAAGATTTTCCCCTTGTTTCGCAGCAGTTGATTTCATGGGATATTTCTTTTCCAGAAAAATCTTGAAGAGAGAAGATTTAGAAGACACTCATTTTTGGATTTCCTTTGACTTTTCTCACTGCAAATCATACTTCCGCAGAATTTAACACTTTTCTCCTGTCACAACCTGTTTCATTTTCTACTCGACCTTCTATGTATCGTTTTATAACGTATCTGAAGAATAACTTATGCAAACAAATCTTCCAATGTATTTAATGGAATTCCAGTGAAAAGTAATGATGTTTTTGACTTTCAAATTTGTTTCCGCAATTTTCCCACTCATAATATTGAATTGTTGAAACGAAAGGTTATAAATGAAAACTAATACCTCTTAGCCACTCGTCTACATATATTGACTACTTTCAGTAAGAATCGTAAACAAATTCTTATCAAACTCACATCGATTGCATTTGCTTTGGATAATTCGTAGCATAAAAGAATAATTTGTTGACATAAAGAAGTGTGAAGATTATTATGATTCATTTTTTTGCAATTATAAATCAAAACTTTTCACTCTTTCTTTACGATTTTGTTACATTGAGCTTCAGATAATGTATATCCATTGAAATAAGTCTGAAAAAGTGCTTCGTTATCTGATTACTTCGTTAATCTTTATTACATTATTGACTGAGCGAATAATTTTGTGAGTGTGAAAAGGTAAAGATTTGTAGTGATTTGTTTTTTGAAATTATAAATCAAAACTTTTCACTCTTTCTTTACGATTTTGTTAGACTGAGCTTCATATAGTGTATATCCATTAAAAGAAGTTTGAAAAAGTACTCTGTTATCTAGTTACTTCATTAATCTTAACTACATTGTTGATGGAACGAATAATTTTGTGACGTGAGAAAGAGTAAAGATTTGTAATGATTCATTTTTCTTTTTTTTTTTTGGAATTATAAATAAAAACTTTTCACTCTTTCTTTACAATTTTGTTACACTGAGCATTAAATAATGTATATCCATTAAAAGAGCTCGAAAAAGTACATCGTTATCTGGTTACTTCATTAATCTTTATTGCATTATTGACTGAGCGAATAATTTTGTAAGTAAGAAAAGGTAAAGATTTGTAATGAATCGTTTTTTTTCTGAAATTACAAACTCAAACTTTTCGCTCTTTCTTTACGATTTTGTTACGCTGAGCATCAAATAATGTACATCCATTAAGAGAAGCTCGAAAACGTACTTCGTTATCTAGTTACTTCATTGATCTTCTCTGCATTATCAACTGAGCGAGTAATTTTATGACCCACTATAAGTACATATGAGAATTTAGATTGCATATTTATTTTAAAATTAATTATTTCCCTCCTTTACTTTCCTTTCTTTCTCTCCATTTCGCATTTTGGTTCTCTCTTCTCTTCTGTTTCATGCTTTATCTTCTTCCCTTTCTTTCAAATTCCATTTTATTTATCTTTTTAATGAAATCACTTTCAAACCTTGATCCGCGGGCCGCATGTTTGATATTACTCTTTCGGACAAAGCTGCACGGTCATTTTTGTAATTTGGAAATTCATGCCGCACTAATGTACGAATGATATATCAAATAATTGGTAGTAAGTATGCTAACACGCGATATAATCGTGTATAAATGCACTGATGCGCTAATACGACTCGAACTGGATACCGTAACCAAATTATTATTGCATCAATATAAATTTCACAAATAAATTTCATTTAATATCATCGTAACAGTCTGTCATGAGCGTTTATCGGACAATAACTATAGTGAATATCAATAATCCACATAATGATATCGGGTGTAGAAGATTTACCACCGTGAAAATTGTCGATTTATCGAACGACATTTATATAAAGACAGAATAAAAATATGTATCTTCAACAGATCATCACATCATTCACCAAAATACAACGTAAACTAGGTGAATATTAAAAAACCTAACCTAACCATCGTACTCCAGACTGTACAAGCTATAAGACACCTAATCTTCGACGAACGAATGAAATGAAACAAACTGAACGTAAGAGTCAACAAAGGAAAAGAAGAGGATTCACTAACCTGAATCTGATGTCCGGGATTGTTGATGTGTAGCTGCTGTGCCTGGTTAATTTGCAGAGTGGAGGTGCCAGGTCCTGAGGGTGGTCTCGGCGGCGTAGAGCTAGTGAAGGGTCCCTGGGATCCGGTTTGATTGGGTCCAGCGCCCTGGGAGCCTCTCGGTGGAAGCGGATAACCGGGGCTGCCGTGATTCGGCATCGATCCCGGGCTACCGTACGGCGAATACTGTTGCTTATATCCTCCGCTTGGCCCAAGCATGGTCGGTTTGCCACCGGTGGCTGGTTGCGGTCTCTTCATGTCCGCCAGGCCAGCAGCAAATTGGGTTTGCGAGCCGACAAACATATCGTTGGTCTGCTGACTCTGGAAACCGGACGTGCCGTTGTTCTTGTGATACGAACCAGTGCCAGTAGTCGCTTGGGACTGTCCACCGGGTGGACCAGCACTCCCAGGGCTGCCCAGGTAGTCCGACGTGCCACCGAATTGTGGAAACTCAGCGTAAGGGGAACGAGCAGTAGGTCCTCTAGCAGCAGCAGCGGCGGCGGCACCAGGATTGAATCCACCCAGCCCTAACTGCTGACTCTTGTGCTGATGCTGCTCAGCCATCTGTTTCAACGTCTGAGCGGCAGGACTCATCTCCGACTTGAAGTCCAGGCTGGAGTACGGTAGTCTGGCCGGCGAGTACTGGGCTGAGCCAAGTGCTCCAGGGCTAGAATTAGCGGGCAGGCTAGCATTCCCGTTGTTAGTGCTGGTGCCGTTGTTCACGGTGTTATTGTTCACGTTCCCGAGCTGCTGATGTATAGCGTCCTTGTCGTCCTCGATCTTGATCTGGCCGTTGTTTGTCCCGATGCTATTATTATTATTGTTATTATTATTATTATTCGCCGCGGCAGCCGCAGCGGCAGCCACTGCCGCGTTATTAGCCAGGGCTTCCACAGGGATCTTCTCCTCGAAATCGAAGTCCTTCATGAACTCCGGATGGAAGTCTGAGATCTCCGAAATCAGGTCCTTGAACGCATCAGAGGTGATAATCTCGTCGCCCGTGTCGTCGCCCATGAAATCAGAGAAGCCAGGGAATCCGGCCCCGTTCGCTGCCGCGTCTTTCTCCAGCGCAGCAGCGCACTGTTCCAAGTCGACGAACTCGTTGTCAGGCTCTTGCTTGCACTCAACCAGGTTACCGATATCGACGCAACCGATGCCACCGGGTGCAGTCGGTCCACCGGTGCCACCGCTACCACCGCCTGGCCCGCCTCCGGCACCGTTCCCTGTTTGAGGCCTCGATGCGGCCGATGCAGGAGTATCTGGTCCCGATTTTGGGGACGACGACGCGTTCAGCAGATCGCTCTTCACCGACGCGTTCGTCAACGCTTTCACGGTCACATTCGTGGAAATCTGTTGAGCCTGAGAGTTCGCCGCGGACGTGGTGAATTCCAGTTGTTGCACGATCTCCACAGAGAACTTGGTCAAACCCTCGTTCCCGCCACCACCGCCGCCTCCGCCGCCACCACCGTGAGTAGGGCCTGTTGTGTTCGCGCCGTTCCCAGGAGGATGCTGCCCGTGGCCGTGATGGGGCCCACCTCCACCGCCGCCACCGGGACCCTGCTGGTGCTGATGCTGTGCCTGCGTGCATTGCAGCTTCACGGGGGGCTCGCCGAAGCCACCGTCTCCGCTACCACCACCGGCAGGCTCCAACTCCTCGGCCGTCCTCTTCACGAATTTTTGTTGCTGAAATGAGAAAGTGAAAGGGTCAATTAGTCTGGTTATTGTGATTGGTAGTACACATTGAGAGGTTTCGCGTCGGGATCCCCATTTCGTGTGTATATAAAATATAAGTGTACAACGTGTAGTTAGTATATTCGTGTCGCAATACGTGTACTTTTTAATTCCTTACAAGCATCAGTCTGCAAACATCAATTTAAATATCTTTACGGATCTAGATGACTATTTTTATAGATCTGGATATGTAACTATTCTGCGGATTTAGACATAGCAGTTCACTCCTAAATTTAAACCTTGGTTGAAATTCCTATTCCTATCTTGGGTTCATTGATGGTTGCAAATGGGGCTAATTGGTAATCACATTTTGTCAATTCCGACTATAGGGAATATTATTATACATTTCGTATATAAATTTCAGAGATGTGTCATATCAGAGAAAAAGGTGTAAAATTTTTTATTCCCGGACGGCGCGAGGTAAGGCAACGGGTCAGAAAATCACACTAATTGAGAGAAAGAAGTCCGAAGAAACCTGACGACTTCTAAATCCTCGCAGTGGCTCGCCTTTCCCATTAAAGCCTGCCAGCTGGTTCAACGAAGAAACGATTCAAAAGAGAGAAAAAGGAAAAGGAAGGAAGGAAAAGGGGAACACAGGTAAAGAGTAGCTGCCAGAAGCGTTCTGTTCGTGGGTCAAGGCAAAACGCGAGACGAGTAGTCCAAACTCGCTGCTTTTTCTCCGATCTCAGCTCCTCGACAACCGGTACCACAGGATATTTAACTCACGCGCCTGGATGCCTCGTTCTGCTCACCCGTTTCTTTCGCAATTAACCCGGCAATTTCTCACCGTGCCTGTCAATACTGCCGTCGCTTTTTCCCCTTTCGTCTTTGTGCGAAACGCCGCGCAGCCCCGATGAACGAAGCGATGCACCGACGCGTTGGCCAGTCTGTTTCGTCACGCGTAGATGTCGCTGTGAGCTGCGTCGTGTATAAATCTCGATACTCCCAGTCGCGACAGAACTAATGGCTCGTCAGTCCATGTCTCTCGACGTGGTAGGCCCTCTATCGACTATATCGGAACTTGGGGGAGGGGGAAGGTTAGAACGTAGTGTTTGAGTGCAGAGCATGATCGAATAGAGGATAAAGGAGCATGTTTGGTGAGGATAGTTGAGATTCACGAACGACTGATCATATTCTTGACATGTGAAGAAGTGTGTTTGGTTTAAGAAATAAACGAGAGATGTCACAAGTTTTAGAGACAAAATCTATTCCTAAAACTCCACAGTCCATAGAATAGGCCATAGAATGCGGGATTCGATAAAATTAAGTGTGCAAGTTTTTTTTAACATCGTGCAGATGTTTAGTTTTGGATTCGAATCTTAATTCAGTATCCTTGATCTTAAAATTTTGAAATTTTAAATTGTCTCGAGCAAGATTTGGACCTCAGATCTTGTTTAAAGTCTGTTTTTATATCAATTTTAGAAAAATGAGATAGAGGAACATGAATTTTGATCTGATAAATTGCAATGTTAAAATTGGGATAACTCGTGTACGAAATTTGTAAAAACAGAACAGTGAAAAATATACGACATTCTATTTGCAATGCAAAATTGGTCACACTATAAGATGGCAGTTGCATCCAACACGATAATTAAGGAAATATTTCATTTCCGAGCTATAAACGTTCTTAATTGCATACCGCAGAAAATGTTCGAAGTGACCTTCTTAGGCGACACGCACATTGTGACCCTCGGTCTCGTGGATTTCCTTTACATCATGGAGGATTTGTACTAGCTAGTATTCTTCTTCTTTTTTTCAGTTGTTCGGAATTTGATAATATTTTGATATTGTTCTAACCAGTAATCTATCTACGCTGAAAATTTATGTTAAATTGAATTCTAATACGAAATTCTAATATACTACACAAAAAGTAGAAGGAATGAGTTATTAGAATTCAATTTGAATTTATTTGCAGATCTGAAAATTACATCACATCATCGTACCAGAAATGGCCACCAAACAAAATATTTACATATGCTTTTGACAACTGCAGACATATTGAAAAATTAAGTACCAATGCTACATCGTGATAAAATAATCTATCTGACAAATAGTAACGAGAAGGAACCAAATAAAACGAGAATGCAAAAGAGGGACTCAATCAGACTACCTCGTAAATCCAGTCTCATACACAAAACACTTGATATTAATTGATAGAGAAACGAGTTCCACGGTGATTCACAAAAAGCTCTTTGCTAGTGAAACTGGATATCGGTATTACTAGTGAAGGAGACATAAAGTGTAATCGTAAATTCATCAAGCAGCCGGTTTCCTCGTGTGTCGACATCGATCTCGTTAAAAGAATCCACCATGCGATTTGAAGCTACCAAGTAATTAAAAACTAGAATCTGAAAAAAGTGGAACACTTCATGCTGCCCCAAATATGAACAAATTCAAATCCTCATCGTACACCTCTAACCAAATTGAAATTTCGAGGACATAATAAAATACAAATTTTACTAACACGACGGACACTGAACCACAATGATCTTCAGGAATTTATGGTTACTCTATAGTTATTCCACACTACAGGACAATAGTTAATGCAAAACATCCTCGATCAACCTATATATCGATTAACATATGTAATCTATATACCTATAATCGTCTTGAAAATCATAGAATCAGGGATACAGAACAAGAAATTCGCAGATCATTTCAAAAGATACGTTCATCGATACGTTCATCGAATCAAGCAGATAGGGACATGCACGAATGCTAAGAAGGTCTACACTGGTGTTCTCTAATGAAAGTATTCTCGATACCAGAAGCCACTTTTCCATGGCGCGAAATACATGCCGTCGATACGAAGGGAAAAGGGTGGAAAAAGTTTTTTCAGGGTGCGGTCGAACAGCTACACACACGCATGCACGAGCCCGCAGACCACCAAGCCACACACGGTAGTGTACATTTGTCATGATTTGAACCGGGATAACCTGCGCCCCGTTCCAAAATCGATAATACGTATTACCCTCTAATAGGGAGTCGCTCGTCCTACGTTTCCACCAATATCCCCCTATACGATCCTCTTTTAGATGGCTCGGCTCGAACGAATCCATGTCGCTAGCAGAGGCAACGAAATGATCTGTTCTGGATCTGGGTTTTCTACAGCCATGATGTAAGATAGGAGTATTTTTAGAAAACTGGAAAAAGTGCTTAATTTTTTACATTGCTATCATTTTTATCGCGACTGATAGCCTTGAATGTTGAGGGAGTGATATATATATCAAATGCCATAGCAAATGCCTTTTCATGTAGCTACTAAACGCTAAGTAATAGGGAAGAAAAGTAACGGTGTAAAATTTCGCAGTGATAATAAAATGTTTGGATCAGTTCAAACTTTCCAAGCGAAATGCTAAATGTCTTTGAGAATTTTCCCAGCAAAATTTAGTCAAAATACCGTATCCTATGAAACACTCGGAATTTATATCAGATTCACCGTAAGTTGGTACACCAATTCCTACTTAGTCATCCTCGCTATGTTTATTCCATTCCCTAATGATAAATTTTAAACAATCCCTAACATCACGTCACTGCCTGTTTTCTTGTATTTCTATGTAAAATTGCAGAAATCTAAACGCTAATTTGCTTTACACTACTCTAAACGCTAATTTACACGCTAACGCCATCTTTGAATGGAATCGACCGGAGCGCCCTCGGAAATCAAGTCGGAGGGGATAAGCGGTTGACGAAAGCTCGGTTCGAGCGTATCGCGATACAAGAGGGAGAGCGCGATAAATCTCGGGTGTAACGCAGTCTACATCAACGGCGGCCCCCAGCGTCTCTAGCGGGCTGCGAGGAAATTACGGAGAAAGCGCGCGGTAATGCAGACATTTCCGTCGCTCAGCGGCGGAACCGGAACGCCTATATTTTTCGCCCAGGAAAAACGTGAAAGCCGGCCTGGATTGTGTGCACGACGCCACACGGCCCTGTAATAGACGCGCCAGTAGGGATCCCGGGGAGCAGTTTCGCCGTAGCCGCCTTCACCAGGGCAATTTTGCGGCGCGAAAAGTACGCTGGCCCTCGTCTGATAACGGGTCGACCTCGCGTCGATATTCCTCCATGGGCTTGTGTTCCGTGCTGCTTTCGTGGTCCACTTTGGGCTTGATGTTTGTATAGTAAGCTAGAGGAGAACTTCTTTGGATATGTACCTTTCTGTTCTTTTGCTTGTACTTCGATTAGGTGTGTAGCTAAATATGTATATACAGGAGAGGTGTCATTGTGGCCAATTTTTTAAATGGAATTCGAAAGGCAAAAGTGTTACACAATGTTTATTTTAAGTCTATACTATTACTTTTGTAGAAGTATGTTATAGAAAATGATTAGTTGGAAGGAGGTACTGACAATGGGAGTTATGTTTGGACGAGTTATTTGGTTTGATTCAGGTCAAAATTGAAATTTAATGTACAGAGAGTGAATAATTTTAATACTTCCTTCAATTTTTCGTATTTTGTAGAATATATTGGAAGAATTCATATCACAAGAGCAAAAAGTAGATCATTTTAAGTGATTACAAATCTCTGCAAAAATTATAAGTAAAAATTGTAACTTTTTTGTGCAAAGTCAAATAAAATTTCAGAGAAAAAGTAATTTTTTTAATCTAATTCGTTTCCCGTTTACTATTTCCTGAATTGTGTTACCTTCGAGTTACTTTTCCGAAGACCTGACCCTCGCAAATCAACTGGGTACACACAACAACAGTAACATAGATGGATTGGAAGAATCTAAAAGTCCATCATCGTTCTCGTCATATTAGATATACCGCACTTTCGGTTCGAAGTTGTTGAGAGTGACTAGAGGGGGAAATGGACTAAGAAGTTTCAACCGTCGTTTTGAACTTCGAAGAAAACGATTCTGTAAGCCTCGTACAAAGAATTCGTAGAATCTGTGCACTGAGCAATCGATCTTACTGCGTGTGCTGCTTCCTCGAACTTGCGCCGTCTGTTTCTAAT